AAATAGTTATAAGCGTTTTTTGACGAACGAATTTTTTAGTTAATTTTTGTACAATGGATTTGCAGAAAGAGTTTTTTGTTCTAATGTATCTACAGAATCTAAATAATATACTATATCAAACTTAAAGAAATTAATTTTAGTATATTTAATGATATAAAAAGATAGAAATATGAATTATTAATTTTTTTATATAATTTATGATTAGGTCATTATGTTCAAGTGATCTAACTATTATATAAAATTGATTAAGAAAATTATCTAGAATTTTATCATTTTGAAATACTTCTTGTAACTTATTATTTAAATAAATGAAACTTTCTTTCTTTTTATATTCTCTTTTATAAAGAATTCTTATCATAGCTTTAATTGCTTCAATAAGATTGATTATATTTATCTCTTATTCATAATCTTAATAACTTCTATTATAATTTCTATATTTTTAATTTTAATTTCTTTATTATTTATAATTATAACTTTTTTTACTAGCAGTTATAATTTCTTTAACTAAAACTTTTATCTATTTAATGTTTTTTTTAAATAGATTTTCAATATAATGCATATAATATAAGTTACATAAAACCTTACTTTTCTCTTATCTTTTTCTTATTAAGTTTTTACTTTCAACTTTCTTTCATTTTTCATTTTTCAAAATATGAAATTTCTTTAATACAGTGACCTTACATTCCATGCATTTCTTATTGTTAGTTATAATTTTGATGAGAAAATTGTAAAATGAAAACTGTGATATTAACTAAGATTAAGAAAATATATTATACAGCAAGGTAAAAACTTCATGTTTGTTTAATAAACTTAATTTATTTCACAAAAGAGATAATCTAAGTTTTTTAAAAAAATATTGTAAAATATATAAAAAAATTTTTGAATCAATTGAATTGCTTGTATAATAATCTGCAAACTCAAGACATATTCAGGATGGTTCTACCTCAAGAAGATATGATGTTAAAACCTCATGTAAGAGCAAATATGGTGATCAATTCCTTGATATGGATATCCTGACAATTAATCACATTAATTTGATTAATTAAATATATCAAGAAAAGGAGATTTAATAGTGAAGGAGAATTTAATTATTATAAAGGTTTATGTTGATAAATTGGAGAAATAGAATTAAATAAAGAAAGGATAGAAATGAAATTTATGTAATTAAATAGGTCATAATTAAAAAGTTATTATAAATAAAGAGCATTATTGTCCCAAGAAACAGACATGTCTTGTTTGCTTTATTAAAAAGAACAAATCCCAAATACATTGTATCATCCATAATAAAACACTAACACTATACTCAGTATAAACCCTGTAAACCCCTATAAACGTTCAAGTCTTGTTCACGTGACTTACTCTACTGACTTCCGTTGGACCAAAGTAACCGAAAGCCTTAATCACCCATCAGCCAAATCTAACACCCACTTTCGTAAAGGTTACCTACCGTACGTTACACGAGATTTTGGATTGTGGAGCGACCAAGTCGCAGTTTTCCGAACCCAACAATAGAAACATTTCAATGTTTTGCTCGGCACCACTCACATATAGATAGTCTCTGCAGAAAAGTCACGGGTAAAGAAGCTAGTGTCTATTCATTTTTTATTTTTTATTATTTTATGAAACGCATATACGATATTACCTGAAGGTATTATGATTGTACATTTGTCGAATTGATTCATCGATGCATCGTAAATTGTTATTGGTTTCGTCAATCGTCAACAGTTTCGTCAGGCATGTGATTTAACAAAACCTTCCGTCAATTCAAAATAGTTCGTCAAGCATCTTTTAATTTATATATTTTTTAAACCAATGTTTATTCATTTTCAAATATTATGAATTGGCCAGTAAGGATTAGAGCTGCCTAATCCTTTAATCGTATTAACTGTTCGATTCAGTCGGATTTAAATAATTATAGCCCGCGACCAACATATTTCAGCTTGGATCTATGACTAATTGTTGAGCAGTTAAACGATTTTGACCCTCATCGGCCAGTATTTAAGCCTTTAGATACTGTATTTCGAATTTGGCATGTGATTTTTACTTGGTATCTGAATATCTGGTTTTTTTATTACATTTGGATATTCATAATTATTTCTACCATTCATGTTCATTTATTCAATTTTTTTTTCTGTTGTTATAAATTCAAGTATTCGACCAAAGTCCATCAAAAATTATTACAAAAATTACAAAAAGAGCTCATGAATTCGATTCATCATTAATATTACCATAGTGTGCCATATAAAAGATCTCACATATATTAGACCCCCTCGTTTTTTACTAATTATTTTCGTTTTTTTACTAAATAATTTTTTTGGTGGAATGTAACAGACCCGGATCATTTATATGGCACATTACGGTAATTTAATATTTTAAAATTCAACCTGAGCTATTGTTAAAATGGCGAGAATTGAAAAATGACGAGTCGATAAACAAATTGCAAAAATTTAAAATCCAAGCAATGAATGCATGAATTTGATTTGTTTGATGTTTTATTATCGTTAAGATCGATTTAATACATGAACATTATTGATCTTAGCAAGTCTCATGCTCATGATTTGTATTAGCGTTAAGAATTGGCTTAGCCAACTAATAATTGACAGGTTTAAAAAATGGTCTGGGTCAAACAGAATCTGAAAAACAAAGTCTCTACAAAAATTGATCGGAACTACAATTAATATGGGTCAGTTTTGATCCAGACCTGTTTAAAAACATATACATGACACAGTGTGTAAAATTCAATATTCTCGACGGTCTCTGAGAACACAAAAATTTAGGTTACACATGTAAGATCGTAAAAAGGTTTCAAATTATTCATGGATGCTTTTGCAAGAATGTGCTTTAAGTGCGCCACTATAAACATAACAGAAATGTGTTACAGGTAAATGTGTCCAAACTAAAAAATTTCTTTGCCAATCAGATTTCAAGGTCAGGTGTGACAAGAAAATGCTGGTGAAATAAAATTTGGTGAAATTGGTGAAACGATGATCAATATTCTACTAATCTCACCAATTACACCAGTTACACCAATATCGATTGGTGAAGTGATGAAATCATTTCACCACTCTGATTTAATTTCACCAGCATCATTAGGCATAACTCAATATTTACCTATGAAACCACCTTCTGCGCACTAGAAAAAACTTTTCTTGCGAAATTTTGTTACTGTTAAAGCTCTTTCCTAACCTAACTTAATAACAAAACCTAACAGCGAAATGTTTTTAGGTTTGGTAACACTATGACAGTTATGGAAAGCAGACAACCAAATTGTGACGGAGATCGTCGAAATATTATTATAAATTTAAGCATGATGTAACGATAGCATTTTTAGAATAAATCATGTCAAACTGGATCGAAGTTGCAATTGAAAAAAAAGATATTAAGTCATTCAAGTATGATTCTTTTAAGAATTGGGAAGTAATTGGTAGAGGAGGGTTTGGCACTGTATACAGTGCATATTCAGAAGATGATAAAAAAATTGTAGCTTTAAAAGGCCTTAATTACGATTCCACTAGTGGAAACATGAATGAATTTATTAAAGAAGTATTAATTATTTTATAATACATTAAAACTAATATTATCTTATTTAAGTTCTTATTTATTTATGTTTATTAAATTCTATAATAAGGTTAGAAGTATTATTAGATTTGCTCATCATAGGAATATAATACAATTCTTTGGAGTAACTCAAGGTATGTTAATTCGATATTATGAAATTTTATTTGCTAACCAATTATTAATAATAATTTTGCACAAATTAGATACAAGAAGTAAATACTATATGGTTCTTCAATATGCCAACAACAGTGACCTCCGTTGTTATTTAAGTAATCGTTTTTTGGAATTAGATTGGACAACTAAAATTAGAATGGCGAAAGAAATTTCTAGTGGGATTGAATGCCTACACAATGCAAACATCGTTCACCGTGATCTTGTAAATACTTTTATATTTTATATATAAAGTATATATATTTTTTAATTGTATATATATTAATATTATTATAGCATGATAGGAATATATTAGTGCACGACGATAAAATGATGATTGCGGACTTTGGCTTATCTAAATCATTAGATAATAGTACAAGATCTACTTTTGGTGGGACATGTGCTTTTTCTGATCCAAAGTATCTCGAAAATCCATTCTTGTTTAAACGGGATAAACCTTCTGATATTTATAGTCTTGGTGTGCTTTTCTGGGAATTATCAAGTGGTGTTCCTCCCTTTAAAGATATAGCTGACACAATACAAATATCATTTATTGTAATTTCTGGAGATAGAGAAGATCCAGTTAACGAAACTCCAATTGATTTTTTGAATATTTATACTAATGCTTGGAATGGTGATCCGAATTTACGTCCTAGCATAACTAAAATTATTGATAATTTAGATAATATCAAAATGGATCTAATTCTGAGTGAACAAGGACAAGATTTTATTCCAAATAAACAAGATATAGGTCTGAATGAACCATGTACTATTTCAAGTGAAGAAGGTATGATTCTGAATAAACAAGGACACTATATAAGATTATTAAATTAGTATAATTGCTATTTTATTATTAAACTAGGCTATAATTATGTTTTATTATAATGGTTTTAGGAATGTACCAACTTGATAATGTAATTATACCAGAACAAATTATGTCTGAAGACGATACGGTCAGACCAGATATTCTATATGTTGTAGCTCTTGGTATATATGGTATTCTCATGTGCCTTAAATTATTGAAGAATTACACTGACAATACGTTTATATTTATTCATTAGAAATTGGAATTACCCACTCAGGTCAGCAAAAAAAAACATAAGCAAAATAAAATTCCAATTGATTAATTATTATTGCGAATAAATCATTTTCTTGTAACAATACAGGGTTTGCTTATTCATCAAAGGTTAATCCAGACATTATCACAAATAATACAGTAAGTTTAAAGTTCAATAATATACTAGACAATACAAGAATAAATATCAAATTACTTTTGGGTCTATAAATTTATGAAATCGATATTTCCATACCATTTTTTGATATTGCCACACTCCTGTTAATAAAATCAATATAGATTACTAGGGTTTTGGTTAGGACTTAGAGTTGGCAAGTGTGTGGCGATATCAGAAAAGAGAGTGAAAATATCAATTTCCTAAGTTTAATATTTGGATAAATTGGGGTGAGTCAATAGAAACGCACCATATTTTTTCCAAGTAAATTTTTTTAAAACTTTAAACAAAGATACCTCAACAACTTTATCAAATTTAATAAAATTTTTTTCAAAACAATCCTAAAAATTTATAGAATTTATTTAAAAAAATTTTTATTAAATTTGATTAAGTATTTGCTAAGTTAGTTTGGTTCAAAGATTTAAAAAAATTTCATTAAAAATGATATGGTGCGTTTTTATTGACTCACCCCCAATTGAATGTGTCCGTCTTAGATTTATATCCAATTAATTTGATTAAATGTCCAATATTGTTGAATGGGTTATTTATTTCGGATTTTTTCATTAATAATGAATTATATTATAATATTTTTATAGTGGTAAGATATAAACACAATTAGAATTTTCATAAAAAAAAATACAGTAAAAATTATTAGTAATCATCGATGTCTTTGATATTAGGCCAGAACATGAAGGCTTTAAAACCAATACTGCATTAGCGTATAATGAAAACTTGCAAGTTGTAGCCTGGGGCCGCCCAGCCTTGTCAAAAGAACCAACGAGAAAAAAAGCACCGAAGTTTAAATCAGTAGAATTATTCATGCTACACCTTGCCAATTTAGAGGAGAACAATATGCCATCCCTTCTTCCAGGCCTAGATATAAAAACGGTCATTACTGATTATTTATGTGAGATGAATAAAGTAATGAAATATTAACTTATTCTACATAGACCGTTTATAATTGACATCTAATTTTGTGGCAAATTTTCCTTGTTTAGCTCATTAAACAAACATTATCTAGTCGATGGCCAAGTAATATAATAATATCTTTATTAATATTTATATAAAAGAAACTTGAAGTTATTTAACTTATATGTTTTTAAATATATAGATATGCAGTATCCTCAACAAGTTCGCTTTGTACTACCTGTGCCTGACGAATGGTTAGCAATTCATTCCATAATTAATTGGGTTGATGTATCAATATTTAAGGCATCTTTTTTTTTGACATAAAATAAAGGGATAACGAAGCGAAAACAATTATGAGAGGGTGTATGCATAAAGCTGGCTATTTGGATAATAGGGATTCGGAAAATATAGTGTTTATAACCGAATGTATGTAACCAAATTTATTTATACATGTACATATTCGCATATGTATTTTGACTGTCTTAATTTTCAGCCGAGGCTGCCACAAATTACTGCATGAAATCTTTAAATGAACCTAATTTGTAAATATACATTTATTATTATTAATAAATGTCACGTGATAAAAATACCAAACCTTTTGCTTTTTTTTAGACTAGCATCATTCTTGATCGTTGATTGCGAAGGAGAAATTGTAACTGTTATAACCAGAACTTTACTACCTGGCATGAGAGTTGGTGAAGTTACCGAACGTAATAGTGATCGATGTGGTAGTTTTCATGTTGATCATGAATTTCTTATGTTCCTTGGTCAACAATTAGGACTCGACGCAATGAAAAAGCTAAAAGAAAATCACTATACACAAATGCAGTATTTGATTCAAGAGTTTTTTTGTTCAAAAGTAAAATTTTCGTTCAATGGAAATCCTAAAGAATATACTACCAAGGAATTGGATATTGAATTTTATTGTCCTGCAGTGGTGCAGTATGTTACCGGTCAGAATAAAGAACAAATGGAAAAATGTGAATGGGAGATCGAACTAGACTTTCAAACTGTGAAAGATATGTTTGATCCCGTTATTAAAAAGATTATTGATTTGATTCAAAGGCAATTGACATTGACCAGACGTAAATGTGCAGCAATGTTTTTAATAGGCGAATTTAACGAAAATCGTTACTTGCAAACTCAAATTCAACAACATTTTACGGCACAAATCCCAACTATTATTGTTGCTAATCAGCCCATAGCAGGTATTAAATATTCTCGATTATTAATTATTTTACCAAACGATCTTTTATTCTTATAATTGAATTCCTAAACAATCATATTCTTCACATTAAGCCATCGAACGAAGTGCTTTAGAATATGGTCTAAATATGGATGTTGTCCCAACTCGAGTTTTAAAATACTGCTACGGCATAGAAGTAAGTGGAAAATGGGAAATGGGTGATCCACCAGAACGTCGCACACCCTCCGGCTGTATATCCCAATTCTATCGGTTGGCATTAAAAGGTATTGAAGTTGGTGTCGATCAAAAATTCTATTATACATTTGAAGTAGGTATGAATCAAACTGAGAAGATTATTAATGTATTCATTACACCGGATAACAATGCGGAATATTGCGACGAGGATGGAATGGAGATGCTAGGAACAATAAAAATTGATCTATCAGATTCACGAAGACAAAGAAAATTGATGGAATTAATTCTGACATTTGGTGTTGCAGAAGTTATAGCTACAGTAGTTAATAAAAGGACAGGGCAGTTGTATTATAAGTGCACTTTCCGTTTGGCAGTTTAATTGATTGTTTATAATTTTTGTTAAATAATTTCTTTTATCGGATATTGATTTTAGGGTATGAATCTTGTTAATAATATATAATTTGGTAGAACCCATGTCACTATGAATTTTTTGATGTTTTTATTCTTACCATTTTTGTTATCTTTATACACGTCTTTTACTTATTGTATTATTTATTTTATTTTATCTTTTCGTTATTTATTGTACAGTCATCATCCTCTATAATCATGCTGTTTGTTTATATAAAAAAGAGGTGATTATAAATTTTTAATATTAATGTGATTATATAAAGTTTTTTTGACAAATATATTGCCAATAATTTTTAAAAATGGTGCTTATAGAGGACATGATTATATAGGATGTAACTGTATAGGAGGATGATGGCTGTATATTTATTCAATGCTTTTGTATATACCACATAATCTAGCATTAGATACTTAGTAAAACTATCATATTATAATAGATAAGATATCATCTCTTAATCTATATAGATAATCATATTCCCATTAATTTATGTATAGCGATAATGTTAATTGTCTGGAGCATAGCAGAGGACATTTAATAATTATGCATAATAATACAAAAGTTGTGTTTTTGATGCATCAATAGTTATGTTTTTAAAGCATGATAGACATTTATTTTAATTGGTTAAAAAAATATAAACAAATAAACAATATGCATAATGTAGATCATTATACAAATTTAGATATTTAATATAATTAAATAATATAGTAAAAATATATTATATTTTTAGATACTAAATAAGTTTATTTAAAGTTCAAAGTTTGTAAAATTTTATTTAATGCAGAATTTTTTATATTTTATTTATTAAAATATAAAATTTTTATATTTATAAAATTTAATAATAAATCATAATTTTAAACTTTAAGTAAATTTGAAAATATTCAAAATATATTATTTTAGTATCTATTTGTTTTTTTAAATAAGTTTATTTAGACTCCACCAACCCATCTTGTACTCAACCATGACTTCAACATGCTCACTCTATTTGGAAACAACTTTTTTATACTCATAATTTTGAAAACTCTCTTCTATTTTGACAACAAATCAACAAAGTCATTGACAAAAGATGTGTTATTCTTACATCACATCCTACACAAGCTATCAATAGCATCCTTAACCGCTATCATTAACCTGTTCATTTCTCCAATATAAAATTGTCTAATGAGCTTATAACTGACCCATCACTTATTAAACAGCATGTTCAATCACATTTTCATAACTGGACTGCATTTAGACCTATTAATCAAACTCTTTTTGATAATTTTTGGCAATAACATTATCTCCTATTCTCTCATATCAATCCAACTTGGTACCAATCCCTAAACTCTCCTATTATAAATGAAGAATTCTCTCTAACTCTCTTTCAGCTTCCTAACAATAAGCCTGTAGTCCTACAGGCATTAGTTATAAAATGCTCAAACATATCAGCCCTGAATGCACTTCTACTATTATCAGTCTCTTTAATCATTGCTTTCTTGAAAATAGAATTCCTAAACAATGGAAACATAGCAGAATTTACTCTATTTCTAAATGTAACTCCTTTGATGGTAATCTTAATCTTATTCAACCTATTAGTCTTATCAAACATATTCGCAAACTATATACCAAAATTCTTACAAACAGACTAAGCACTATATTTTTTTCTAATCCTATTCTCTCACCTTTTAATTATGTTGCATTTCCTAACAACAGCACTTCAATCTCTATTCATATTCTCAACAATCTTATTAAAGATATTACTTACAATTATAAGAACATTTAGTTATTTTCATAAGATATGAGTAAAGCATATAATTCAGTCAACTTTATTCTTTTTAAACATTTACTTTCTCATCTAGCACTCCCTATACCTATTATTAATATTCTTTCTGACCTTTTGACTGATCGTTACAATCAAGTCATTACTAATCTTGGCCTTACTTCCTTATACTCTGTTCTAATGGTATTGACTAAGATGAAATCATTATTCTTTTATTATGATGCATATATTATGACCCACTTATTTCATATATACATGTACAAGTATCTGGCTATACCTTACAATCCTCCTGGACTACCAATCTCAAACTTCAAATATCTAATTCATTACAAAAACAATGCTCTGTTTTGGCATATATGGACAACACCCTTTGGGTTGCTTTATCACAAACTAAGCTTTCAAATATACTATCTATAGCTAAATCATTTTATATTATGACTAACATTCAAATTAACCCCTCAAAATCCTCCTTGTCACCAATAATCCTTCATCTCACTACACTCTTATCTTCTATAACAATTATCTTCTTCCACTTCATTCTTCTAAACAACCCTTTAAGTTTTTAGGTTGCTAGTTTATCCTGGATAACAAGCAATCTAAACAAACAAAACTGCTTATTGCTGAATCCTCTCAACTCATTAAAATTGCTAAAACCAAACATATTATTGACTCACATGCCCGTTATATTATTAACACAGTTATCATTCTTATTCTCGAATATTATCTTCAAAATATTGTAATTAGTCAGCCTATCTGCAATAAGATTTTTACTCAGCATATTGGTCTTGTTAAACTTAAAGCTAAACTCTGTCATACAATACCCTCCAGTACTCTTTTACATCCCCAAATTTACAACATCAAACACATCTAGGATATCCAACTACAACACCATATCTCTAATCTTCTTAAATGACTTAATAACCCTGACCTGTTAGGCACATCAACTCGCATTTAAATTCAACAGTTACAAAACAACCTCTGGTCTCCTACTAATATTTTTTTACATCCTAAATCTATTATCAATGGTTCTAACTGTCTAACTATAAACTTTAAAATTATTCAGCTTATCAAGCATATTGACTAGACATTTTCTACTAACCCAACCTACAACATTCCATTTACTCTAAATGATGGAACTATTTCTCTTGAATCTCTTCTTTCCTCTTATCCTAAATATTTCATTTTTAAAAAACAATTTAGATATCACAAACTACTCTTTTTCAACCAACTTACTATATATGATAACTCATACTTATTACATTGCCAACATATTTCTTCTAGATTAAATAAACTCTCTAAAGATGTTATATCTCAATGGTTTACTACACTTGAGGACATTACAACAAGCCATTCTTATGAACATACTTTATATGACCACTTTAATTTACCCCAAACAAACTACTTTTCTTATACTACTAGCTACTTTAACTCTAATACCAAATCCTGGTTACTTACTGTTCTTAATGACCAAATAATTATTGGCAAGGCCAGAAGGCATAATACCCCTACAGACCTTACCCTTATTACTCACTGGCACTGCTCATATCAGTCCCAATTTTCAAACCTATATCCTACTTCCCTCTTCTCCATTACATTATGTTCTGAATGCAACCTTAATTCCAATACAATTGCCAACAAATGCACTATCTTTATTTCTACAAACCTGATTACAAGACTACTTTGCTATATTAATACTGACAAAACTCTTAACCTACATGCCAACTTTCTTAATATTGTATACTCTGTAGCTATTCGGCATCTTTTATATATTCCACCGCCTTCTTTATTAATAATTAACTTACAACAATTACCTTGTATCTTTCAGTCTAATCAACTTACTAATAGCTTATAGTCTATTACTAATTCCAACTATAATCTAACCATCATTTTATTTTATACTGATGGCTCTATTATCGAGCTTGGTATTTCGCAATACTCTATAGACATAGGTTGGATTCAAGTTAATAACTCTACAACTATTCACTCATTTTAGGCACAAGTTAAACTTTGGCTATGTTCCTTTAAAGCTGAAATTCTTGCTATTCTTTTAGCAATTATAATGACTCCTAGAAACTGTTCTGTTCACATCTTTACAGATTCACAATCTGTAATTTCAAAATATCATAGTATCTGCTCATCATCATTCAAACTCTCTCACACTCATATTCTATATTTCTTTATTTGGCAAACTCTCATCAACTTCATTAATTTATACAATATTCAGCTTACTTTTTACAAAGTTACTGTACACCAAGATGATCTATTTAATAATCTTGCTGACCAACTTGTTCATTGTTACCAAACTCTACCCTTTTTAATATTCTTAACTAACAATCTTTACAACCTTGTCTATACACTATTTATTGACCAATTTTCTATCGAAATTCCTATTTGATACTCCATTCGTACTATCTGTCAAGCCCACATTATAACATTTTGGATATCTTAATATCGTTTTCAACAGTGGTCTACCATTGCTCCTAATATTAACTAGGAAGCCACTTGGCTTTACATCAATAATAATCAAAAGGCTTCTAACTTTGCTCATAGTTTTCACTCATCTAATCTTAAAACCTTCTAAGTTAAAATTCTTCTGGATGAACTATCTGTTCCTCATATCCTTCACAAACATAACTCCTCTTACTCTCCTCTCTGTCATTAATGCAATCAAAATAGCTCTTCATTACACTGAACTTTTTGTCTTCTACCCAAACAATTTATCACCTAATCTCTAATTCTCTTAATTGTATTTTAAATGCTACTGCTCTTGACATGTCTTCCAATCTTGTTTCTAATCTACACAAAGAAATTCTTACACTTAATAGCTTTAAATTGTATAACTTTTCACAAATGCCATCTCTTATTTCCACTCTATCTGGCTTAGTTTCTATTGACCTTATCTCTACTATTCATCAAACTTCTATTTCTTATCATACAGCTACTTCCCTTTCTATCAAATTTCTTCTTCACTTAAACCAACAAATATATAAACAAATATGAATTCCATATTGCATTTCACATTCTGTACAGCCTCAAAATACATTTACTACAAATTTAACTCATAGTTCTTCTGCTAGTCTACCCCCTATCTCAGTACCACAAATTATTACCAAAATTGAC